CCTGGTGTGGGGCTCTGCCCTCGGTCGGGGACCTGCTTTTCGGAGCTGAGCTCCCCACCAGCCCCTGAGCCAGTTTTTAGTGCAGAGCCGGCTCCCCGTGGGGGGCTGACCCCTCCCCTGCCCTCCACAGTAGGAGTCAGCTTGGCTCAGGAAGGCAGCCTCTGCATCCGTGCCCCGGGCGTGGCCAGCAGCGTCCTCATCCCGCTCTGGACTCTGGGCCAGTCACCACACCAGAGGCCTCTCCAGCTCTCCTTGACCAGCATGGGCTTCCCTTACGTGGGGGGCGGCCCTTTCCGTCCAGGGAGGAGGGGCTGCGCATGTGAGCGGCCTGGTGACTGTCCGATTCCATGGGATCGGGAAGCTGTGGAGCTAAAGGAGAGCTGAGAAACGGTTGCCCACCTGCTCTCGGGGGGAGGAAGCGGCCCAGAGGCCACACGACGGGCTTAGAGTTCACCAACGGTGGGTCAGCGGCAGGGTGACGGGCACCATCCCCATCCTGTTCGTGAGCAGACGGTGTTGTCCACCGTGTCCAGGCCCATGACACTCCCTCTGCTCATTCTTTGCGGTGATCAGTGTTCAAGATGCGCCGTCAGGCATCTAAGAAGATTTAGTCAAAGCAATCAGTTATGCACGATTTCTAATATTTGTAGTAGAATTGTCAGTTTTAATACTAGGTGATCAAGAGCAGAAAGGGGTTGATTTCACTTGCAGGAGTAGGTTTTGGGGACCCTGTAAGAGGCACCATCCCTCTTTTTCCTCCGGGCATATTCTACTTCAGTGACTATTATTTTTCCATAGAAGAATGGACTGTGGGACTGGGGCTGTGGTTCTTATTACAAAGAAAAATGCATTTTCTCTTTTCTCTTTAATTGCAGGACATTTTGGCACAAGTCCTACAGATTTTATTGAAGTCAAAGTTATTGGTATGTTTGTGTACTTTTTATGTTAAGCTAGAAGAAAGCCTTTTCCTGAGATTACGTAGTAACAGTTGTTTTCTTATAGGTCTTGGAAGACGAAAATGCAAATGTTGATGAGGTGGAATTGAAGCCAGATACCTTAATAAAATTATATCTTGGTTATAAAAAGTAAGGAAAATCTTAACAAGTAGATGGTCCTAGGCCGTAGACTTATCCCCTGACCCCCAGTGCACTTACTGGTGTCACCTCAGATGGGGGGCTGTGAGCACGGTGCCAGGCCTGGCAGGCCTTTGACAGGGTCCTCTGATTCCCTCTGACCCATCCTGGGTGGGTCTCCATTTGACTCTTTCAGCTTTGGGGTTTTTCTTCTATTGGCAAATAAATAAGTCTCCTTAAATGGCTCGCCTAGAAGGTTTGGACCTCTGTGTCCCAGTGTCTTGATTTTATTTCACTTGACAGAGTTTGGGAGAGCAGGTTAAGGAACTGAATTTCCTGCAATACAGACGTCCTGCTGCTGGCAGAGCAGGAACCCGCCCTGCGGAGAACTAGGGGCTTTTCAGAGAAATGAGTGTGGCAGGGAAGCGGGAGATGGTCGGTCACACTCTCCACCCTCCGTCTGGGGAGCAAAGCACCTCTTAAAGATTGAAAACAGAAAGAAGCCTTTACTGTGTGCCTTTTAAAACAATAGTGATTGATTTCCTCGATTTTCTTGACAGTAAGAAATTAAGGGTTAACATCAATGTGCCAATGAAAACGGAACAGAAGCAGGAACAAGAAACCACACACAAAAACATCGAGGAAGATCGCAAGCTTCTGATCCAGGTGACACTGGGTGCCTGTCCCCTCGCGTGGGAGGTGGCCACCACAGCTGGGGTGGTGCTTCCTCTGGGCTGTGTGTCCTGTGACTTGGGAGTGGTGGCCAGGATGATGGGTGGTTCTGGATGGAGTAGATGGAATAATCGATGAAATAGATGAGAGCAAATACCTGTGGTGAGTTACTAAGATGGGAGGGAGGGAAAGTTGTTTAGTGCAGGGTCAGGCGGCTTCCGTGGCTTCGAAGACTGAACTTTTTCTCATTTTAAAAGTGTTTTCTACTTGGGTTAAATTGCTAAAATTGCTGCTCATAAGACCAAAACATTTTAATGTTTGTTGTGCTGGCGCTGAAACTTAAGTAGATGGAGTTGGCGCCCTGCCCTCTCTGACCTGCGGTGTGCTTGTTACCTGTTAGGAAATCGTAGTCCTCTGCGTGTTTGGCAGCCTTGTTGCTAGTTCTTCTTAATTACTACGGCTAAGTTCTTATAACTCCGTTAAACACATTTGTTTTTCTTTCCTTGGTCACACAGGCGGCTATTGTGAGAATTATGAAAATGAGGAAGGTTCTGAAGCACCAGCAGTTACTTGGAGAAGTGCTGACCCAGCTGTCCTCAAGGTTCAAGCCTCGGGTCCCAGTAATTAAGGTACAAGAATTAATAGCAGAAGCATTCAGATTACATTTCAGAAGCCAGAAGAGGCAACCACACTAGGCTGGTGGCTGTGTCGCGAAGAAGGAACTTGGCTTAGTCCCGTATAATAGGTTTCTGCAAAAGAAAATAGGATGAATTTTTCAACGTTTTATTGAAGCACGTACACAGAGAAGGGCCAAATCCTCAGCATTCAGCTTGCTGACCTTGGCAAAGCGAGCAGCTGCCCCAGACGAGAGGGAGCCTCGCGCTCCCTCCCGGCCCGGCAGCCACGCCCTGGTGTCACCACCGCCGCGTGGCACTTTGCCGCCTTGAACTCTGCCCAGAGGGTCTTGAGAGTCCCGCCCTCCCGCGTCTGCCGAGCCCGCCGAGCCCGCCGGGGAGGCGGTCTCCATGGATGTGGCTCGTTGCTCCGGGTCCCCTGGGTGGCCCGCGGCCCCTGGGCACACTCGAGGCTCGTTTCTGGTTGCCGTCATTTCAAACAGAAACTGGGCAGCAGGTACCGCGGGGCGGGTGCGGCTGGAGGGACGGGAGCCGTGCGGGCGGGGCTCCGGGCGGGGAGGCAGCGGTGCCCCAGGGATGGAGGGGGGTCCGTCTCCGTTCCGACCCTGAACATGTTTTTCCCTTTCACTACCTCTTCCTCTTCTAAAAATGGCGCCCAGAAATGCATTGACATTCTGATCGAGAAGGAATATTTGGAGCGAGTGGATGGTGAAAAGGACACCTACAGTTACCTGGCCTAACCCTCCTGGAGGGGTCTGACCGCGGCGCAGCCCCTCGTCCCGTGGGAAGGATGGAGACGCGGCGGCGGCGGCAGCGCCACGCGGACCTCCTGCTCGGCCCGAGGCCCAGGCTCCCATCGCGGGCTCGGGGCGATGAGAACTGCTCAGGATCGCCACACTTCACGTCTGTAAATACGGACACCGACGCCATTTAAGCTAATTTAAGACCAGAGGGGATGGAACCTTCCTCGCTGAGGGCTGCATGCTTCTGCATCCGAATCAACCCATTGGCCACGTGAATGACAGCGGCCGGCCGGGCGGCCCTTCGGAGGCCGGCAGCGCCTGGAGAGCAGGTCTGAATGGACCCACGTGTAATCCGCTATGAAAAACCATTTGTATAGTGTGTTTCATTTTTTAATGTGTGAAAATAAAGAAAATTAAAGGATTTCTGTACAAGTCGCATTTGGTTTTGTTTTAAGTTTTACTAATTTCTATATGTAAATAAAAGACATAATGATTGTGCAAACGGGTATTCCCAGTGTCTTCCTGAGGCCCCAAGGGCTGCCCTCCTGAGACTGGCCTTTGTAAGCTCTTCCCATCTTAAGCCCTTTGTCGTCTTTTTCTCCTCGACGCTTGTGCTCAGCCCCGCGATTTCCTCCAGCGACTGAACGGCAGCTCCCAGGCCTCAGCGCCTCCCATGGCTTCTCTGTGGACACTTGCAAGGCTGGACGGGGTCATCCCGACACCTCCTGTGGGAAGAGTGGCCCCTGTTCCCGGGCGCTGGTCACGAGTGCGGCTTGGGGACCGTGTCTACCACCAGCGCCTCCCTCCTGCTTCCGACCAGTTGTTCGAAGGACAGTCACTCCTCATCCGCGGTCCTGGTGTTGGCGATGTACCACTGTCACTCGGCCCCCAGGCGGTCACTTCCCGGCCCGAGGACAGAAGGAACGGGAGGTGGGAGCAGAGGCCCGGGGAAGGCTCAGTCTCAGGGGCTTCGTGGTCCCCATAAACCACAGGCAACTCCCGTGATGTGAGACGTGAACATGCTTGTCAACACCTATGCGGTCCCTACCTGCCCGGAGGCCAGGTTCCAAGAGCAGGGCCAGAGGAAGACGCCAAAGCTAAGTCCTTACGGTTTCTTGGACCAATCTGGCACCTAACAGGTTAGTTTTTAAAAATTAAAAGTTAAACAGGTTATTAAAAGGAGTAGTAGTAATAGACTAAGCACTTGTGTAATGGTGTCCACTCTTTGTTTTTCTAGTACATTCTTCTTTTTCAAACAATCATAGAAGATTCCCAGTGTGTGAACCAGGCAAAGAGCATTGCCACCACCCCAGGGGACCGTCCCTCCCCCCAGATCCTGCAGTGCCCTGGGGCTCCGAGGACGGCCTAACTGCCCGCGAGTCCTGGCTGGGACCACAGCTCTGCTTCTCCTCTCAACAGTCCATCCGCCTCCGCGACTAACGTGCTGTAAGTAACCACCACGGAGCCAGTTGCCCAGCTTGTGTCTGAGTCTCATCGAGAGTGGGAAGGTAAATTTTAATGAGATTTTGCTGCTGCCTCTTGAGTTCCTCCAGGATGAAGAGTGCCTTTGGTAGGACCTAGGACATCTGTGAGCAAAGGCGGACTGACGGTAGGTGATCGGGTGGTTCCCTCCCATCCTCAGATTCAGTACCTGTACCTGCCCACCCCCCTCACACTTGGTCACTATCCTGTTTAATGGGTGTGGAATAAAAAGCAGCTCAAGACTTTGTGCCTCTGTTCCCTAAACCATATCCTAGCCTAACAAGGACGGCCGGGGCCTCCAAACACAAGCCATGAGAATTGAGTTTCCTGCATTTTTCAGGATAACGTCAATAGTAAGTATCTTCTGAACCTACTTAGGGACAGATGCCCAGGCCTTCTGAAAGCTGTTTGATGCACAGTTGCTACAGGAAGTCCACGCCCTGGGGGAGGGATGGTGGACGGCAGTCCTGGCAGCACCCACAGGAGTTGGTCGGTTGAAGGAAAACCATATTCCAGGCTATCGCTGTGGTACCGTGGTCTGAGGGCACCATTTCCTCTCGCCTGGGAGGGGAGCAGGCAAGGTGGGGCCCCACTGCCAGGAGCCTCTCTCTCCTGGGCTGGGCTCTTGGACCTCACGTCTGCGTTAATGCAAACTGCCAGGCGGTCACCCGGCAGTGCCTTTGTGAGAAGCAGCCAGGGACGCCAGAGTACAGGCCTAAGTAGCAGGTGCAGGGAGAATGAGCTGCAGGACCAAGAGGCACCTGAATTTAACATATTTTTACTGACTGAGCATTTTAAGATGGCCTGTTTGTCGAGGTGTCTAATTTTCCTTTGAAAGAAATTTAAGATTTTACCACACCCAGATGAAAAAATCCGACATGCTGACCCATTTGAACTGAATCCCCCTTCTAATGAAGACAATTTCTTTTTTTTTTTTTTTTTAGGAATGGCAATAACTTGTCTGGGTGATTGGATTTTATATACACGAATTTCATCTCCAGTGGCAGCACAGTGACTTGGTCATAATAGGTGAGTGTGGATGGTTTTTTAAAACCTCTTTCTGGAGGTGCGGTTCACATACAAAAAGCTGTGCGGATTTGATGTATTGGACCATTTCTAATACCAGGTGCTACATACACCCATCACTGGAATTGTTTGTAACAGGTTGGAGGAACAAGCAAGCATTTATTTGAGCTTATTCCAGTAAGAGCCCAAAGCTCATACAACTCCCGGCAGAATACTTACGTTCTGCAGAACGTCCACATGTGAAATCCCTCTTGACGACCCATCTGCAAATCGAAATTACACGATGTTAGTTGACTTTTGGTGGGTGCGGGGGCAGAGGTGGAAATCGGGACTTCGGAGTCACTGACTGGATTCAGTGAAGGCTGGAGGGTGAATGATTCAGACAATATCAAAAAATAATTAGCGGGACTTCCCCGGTGGTCCAGGGGTTAGGACTCCACGCTCCCACCGCAGGGGGCACGGGTTCGATCCCTGGCCGGGGGAACTAAGATCCTGTATGTCACCCAGCACAGCCAAAAAATAAAAAAAGAGGAAGCAGTTTCCAGGTAGATAATTATAAATTTTTTATAAATTACAAAATATTGAAGAGAATTTTGACGCACGGAACAGTGTTGTCATGGTGCCTTCAGATTTGCTTGGGGCAGTTTACTCTGAGGCCGAGGTGCTGCCTGTATTTGGACATCAGGACTGCGGTCAGACACGTGGGCCCTCATGACCATCAGGGGAAAAGCTTCAGGACTACAGACACCGGCCAGCTGGGCAGCCTGTTGTCGGGTTCTTTATCCTCAATGAACAATGGGTGGTATCCCTCAACCATGGAAACTATTTGAAACGTATCCGTATCTTGTGATAACTCGTTACACTCATCTCATCCTACTTAGGCGTCTGTTTTCCCTGGTAGGGAACTAACCACCAGGCTTACCCACATACAAAGTCAATTACCACCTCGGTGAGGGGAGCAAGGGGAAGGGAGAAAAGCACGTACTTAAACTTAGCTTTTGCCAATTTTCTCTGTTAACTGGGTATTAGAATACGTTGTGTCAAGCTCTGTGGTTTTTTCCCCCATTACAGATAAAGGAAGATCTAAAGCTGCCTGGACCGAAGGACGCTCTTGATCACATGGGATGTAGCCGTGGCTGCGTGTCAACAGTGTTTCTGGTCAGAATCTCCGTGTCCACGAGGTCAGTGGGTAGGTTACTGGAGGTACATTGCAAATCAGGGTACAAAGCCTGCTGTGCACCGAGAATACACACCAGCTGGTGCTCGCAAGGACTGCCGTCCATCGGTACAACTGCTATCTTTCTGCTGCATTTGGGCCTCTGGTGTATTAAACGAGCAGAACCTACCTGAACGCAAGGACCCACCTCCCGGTGTTGGCGTCTGGGGACAGGTTGGGAGCTACACACAGTAGAAAAGTTGTGGCTGGAATGAGCTCTGTCAGTAGCTGCTGTTGGGGGCAAGTCATCCCTGGGGCGTCCTGAACAGGCCCACGTGCAGCAGGGCACAGACGGGCTCTGCTGGGGCTGAGTGCCAAGGGCGGGATGCGGTGATCAGGCAAACGCAGGGTGACCCTCCATGAACACGTCAGTGACAGGCGGCCGAGTGCAAGTCCCACTTCCTGGGTGGGGCGTGGGGACAGGACATCCCAGCAGGGTGGCAGAGAAGACACGGCTGACACATGAGACTAGCCCCCAAGGTTGGGTCTCTTCGCTGCCAAAGCCAAGGGGCCCATGAACTGTGTGCCAGGACTCAGGTGGCTGTGGCTTGTGCGTGGATGCGGTGGGAACCAGTCTCCTCAGCGTTTTGTGTAACTGCAGAGGAAGGTGAGTTCTGACGGAGCTTCCCGTTAACCATTACCACGTTATAAATCAATGAAAATTTACCAAACTCTAGAAGAGGCAGCTACACACCCGGGCTGACGACAGCCGTCTGGGCTCTCCCACCACGACAGCGTCACTGTGCCACCGCCGCCTGGCCCGAGGAGCAGCGCCACCTCCTTGGGACGTAAGAAAGAGGGTGTTCTTATTACTTCTTCAAGGAGGTATGAACCTAGTCTGGCTCTATATCCCCGTCGTATCTGAAGGGCTGTATCTAGACTCGTGGGATTTAGAGCTAGATCGGTTCTCAGAAGTCGCTTCCTCCGATTGTCTGTTGTTTCACGTGGAGAACGAGGCTTAGAGGGTACGTAGCTGCAGGCCTCTCGGCAGCCGGGGACGTGCCCCGCGCTGGTCTCCGATGCCAGCAGTGAGTCCCTTATTAAATTGTGACGTGTATTAGTGGTAGTAGGTTTATATGTAGGCATATATTTGTTATATTTGGTATTAACTTGCCTAATAAATAGGCAGTATTAGTGAAACCAAGATTTCAGTAGGATGGCTACTGGAAAACCGAAGGAGTTAAATGTTTTTCCCATTAGACTCAGTCGTCTTTTTCTAAAATCAGCTGAGGAAGCTGTGTGACAGATGACAACGACCAGCAGAAGTTCAAGTATTCTTTATTCAAAGTTGAAAAATGTACCACACTGCATTATTGCAAAAATTCACTGGTACAAAACACTTTGCAGCTGGTGAGAAGGCAATAAAAAGTTGATTTTTAAACTCATTACTATAAATTATTCTTACAGTACTTTTAGCAAATTCAGAATTTCAAACTGCATTTTCTTTTTCTAAATCGCCCACAGTACTCGAGGTTCCTGAAGCTAAGGCAGCTGTTCCAAGAGGAGAAGGGGGGAGGTAGCAGACGTCAAGGGATTTCCATTTCTCTTTCGATGCCCACGTACTTGAGGGCGTCAGCCTGGCTGTATCTGAAACAAACAGCAAGAAAAAGGGGTGAGTGTCCTCCAGCCCGGGGTGAGATCCAACACAACCAAGTCTGCTTCGTTGAGTGTGTTGCACTCACACGTCCACAAGGAAAAGCACACACGCATCCTGTTACACAGCTGCATCATTGGGCCAATTCCAGTTGCAAAGTGGATGGAACTGGTAGTACAACCCTTCCCCAGTTCTCTCCCCAGCCAGCCCTGTGCCCCTGAAACCAACCTCCGGCGAAGGCAGGCCCGCAGCGCGGTGATTAGGCCTAACACGGGGAAGGCAAAGTAACTGCGACGCGGCAGAGCCCTGACTTGGGCCCTTAGTCAAAGCAGCCAGAGCTGGTCACGCCCCGCCCCCGCCTTGAAGAAAGAACAGGACAGAGGCCAGAAGAGGCACCTGCGACCTCCACTGCCGGCTGGAACCTACAGTGCACCCAAAGGAAGGTCTACCAGCTGCCCCTCACTCAGAGCTAGGGGGGCTACGGCTTCGTAACCTCCCACTAAAGCTCTGGGTAGATCTCGCCGCCTTCAGCTGTGCGCAGTTTGCCATTGAAAGTGGCTCCACACGGGCCCTACTTTACGACAACTCAGCACTCAAGAAACAGCTTCTGGATGGATGTACATTCAGCCACAGGATTCGTTTAACTAGACAGTCATCTGAGTGCATTTAGATAAAAATTATAGAACTTTTCAGTTTATCCCCCAGAGCTTGACAGCAGGGGCTGCCGGCCGGCGTGCCTTCTCCCGCAGAAAGGACCCCAAAGGTAAAACGCAGCTGTCCACATTTTTTTTGACTTATATTAAAGCATTACTTGTATAATGGAAAAGTACGTTACCAAACTCCCACCACTGCCCACGACAAATAACGACCAGAACTCTGTTACTCTAACGACAGAAGCTCCAGCCTGGAGCTGGACCAGAGAGGAAAAGCCCTTGATGACTCTAGAAATGTACTGTTACCAACCTGTAATCAAAAAACAGCTCTTCACCAGTCTGGATGGCTCTCTTAGCAAAAATCCCTATCCTGTGATCGCCGTTAACCATCATCACTGCAGAGAGAGATGCTGGGGTCAGTGAAGTCGGCTCAGGAGAGTTGCTGACCGTTCACGTAACAAGTGTCAACCCAGAACCACTCAGGCCAACCTGCGGCAGCTCCACCTCTGGGGACACCTACCTTTTGCATAGCAGTTTGGATTTACTGAGTGATTTGCAAAACGAATTTTGTTACCCTTGCGGGTTGCATCCACCACAAAATCTAAAGAGAAAAAATAAGCACAATCCCGTAAACAATTTCAGCTATACAGAGCAGTAAACACAAAGTTATTATGATTCTGGAAATACAACTGGTTATGCTTCTTCAGGGTTCGCCTTCAAAAGCAAATCATTCAACCAACTTCACCTAGTATGAAATGACATTTGGAAGAAAATGTTCTCTAGGTAAAAATTAATCAGTGATTCCAGACAGTTATATCAGCTGTAAACACCTGTTACTGACCAAAGCATGGCAAAAAATAAAATCTAACTAAATTCTTCCCTTCACATTTTAAATTATATTAGTTTTCTTCATTATGGAGCACATTCATGAAAGAACCCACTCTACCTGCTTCAGCTGAGAGGCCCCCTGAATAGCTTGGGTGTGACGTGCACACTCCCAGCAGTGACCCGACTACACCAGAAGTTTTCCACCCAGGATCAGCATCTGCACACGCAGCGCCCTTTACCCTCGCTGTCCTCTGAGGACCCCCAGGAGCGTTGTGGAGATGCTTCACGAGGCCTTGCTCCACACCCTTCCCAGGTCAGAGGCACTAACTGGAGGAGGTGGGCCCAGCCAGCTGGTACCTGTGGCAAGAGGGGCACGAGAGGAGAGCCAGGCAGTGAAGCCAAGGAACGGCCCGGGGCCAGGGCAGCGATCTCTCCCTGCACACAGAACCCCCTACGGCTCAGGGAGCCTCCACCTCCGCCCCCAAGTTACACTCATCCAACCTGGCTGGCTTCCCAGCAAACAGCCCATTCCTTAGCCCAGGCTGGGGCTCCTTCCAACACTGCAGACACTGGGGGCCCCTAATGTCGTTTCTGATACTCAAGCCACCAGAAGGGCCCGTGCAACCCGGGAACCAAATGCACTCTAATTCATCAACATACCATTGTTCAAGTTGAAGAGAAAGCTGCACATGTATTTATCATATACTTTCCCTCTTCTGTCTGCTTCATCTTGAGAAATAATCTAAAAGGAAGGACATGGGGGAGGTTATTTTGCAACAGGTGAGCCTGGTAGGCGAACACACACCAGCTCATCAGGAACAGTTGGGACCTTGAGGGGTCACTGTGGCCAGTTTCTCTCTTTGTCAAAAACAGTGATATTTTAAGGACTCTAACTTAGAAATATTGAATCCTTCCACATTTAACGTAACTATGCTTGGAGAAAGTGATGAACAAAAGTCTTTTTACTCAGTACAAAATACAAACCGGGTGGGTTAATCGCACAATGAAGCCAGCCCCAGGGTTTTTCCTGACTTAGGTCCTTATCAACTTGGCTGTGGATTAAGTCGGACAGACTCCTCATTTTAAAGCTCTTGTTCTCCCCCTTGTCCCCAGGTGATAAAAGCTGTGACAAGGACTGAAGCCGTGTAGCTTAACTTCCAAACAAACCAAACCCACAAGCCCAAGCTGAAAAGGCATTTTAAATTCACTTCTCATCAAACCCAACAGACTTGCCCAATGAAAATCAGTCCCAAGCAAAGTGAGTACAGATGACGCCCGCAAGCATCCCTCTGTCTGCAACTGGACGGCTGTGCCTTACCTCTCCGCAGTATTCCGAGATGAATTCGTTCTTCTGTACAGGATCTTTGATGAAAATCCCCCAGCCTGCCACATCAGACGGTGCTAGCAATAAATGCTAGAGAACAATAAACACAGTCATAGGATCAGAGGAGAGCGAAGATGGACAAACCAGACATGGGATGACCCAGGGTAATTCAACCACGGGCGGGGGAAGGGGTCCGCTCCCCCGCGTTACCGAAGGGCTTGGCAAACTGCAAGAACGTTTTGGTTTTGGTAAATCAAGTACAGAGCCTGAGTATCCTCTCTCTCAGAAATACGACGTCACCTATGCTGGTGCGGGTCCCTCCGACTGCGGTCCTTGCACGAGGCATCCTGACACGCTGCACCATTTGCTTCCCTGTCCGTCCTTCCGCCCTTGACTTCCTGGACTTCACGTGCAACGTGCCTGTCACACAGGGACCCCTTGCTCCCCCTCTGTCCGTGCCCCCCGCACCTCCCCAAGGCGGCCTCTATCACCACCTCCTCCGGGTCCAGTCCCAGCCCCCGTGGGGCCCTCTCCTGGCTCTTCACCAGCTTTTATTCCTCCCGAAGCGCTGCCCTTCCTTCCAGGGCGCTTTTCTCTTGGGCGCATCCTTCCACAGCCCTTCCTCACGACAGCACGAAAAACCACCACGAGGGGCAGCACGATCCCGTGGGCCAGCATTCTGTTCTTAGCGGATGCCACGATGGCTGATCACTGCTGTGGCTTCTACCGTTAGAGTCTGTTTGGGAATGAGTCCCTGACCTTTCATCGTGGCTCATCATTATGCTTTCATTCCAAGTATCCTCGTGGCCTCGAAAAAGACCCCCGGGTCCCCAGGTTACCGATCTGTGCTTGTTCTGACTCAGCCTACACTCCCTGTCGGGGAAGAATTAACCAAGTACCTTCCTGACCAGCGAAATACTGTTAAGCAAATGAAACCCCGTTGGTACAAAGTATCTACACAGTTTTCTGTTTTAGGAGGTAAAAGATGTGTAGAAAGACATGTCGCCATTAGGATTATCCACTTTCTGAACTGAAGGAGGGGTTTTCATCATACAGTGGGAAAGTACAGGATTGAGGGAGAAATGGGAGTTCTCAGGGCTGAATGGGTGTCCCCGGGAAACCACGCCAGCATCACTGTGACGTGAGGACCTAGAGTAAAACCGTCTGAACGCCTGATAGCAAACGCCACAGCCAAAAATATAAAGCCACTGCCATAAACAGAACTTCCAGTAGAGCAGGACTGACAGTACTGCGATCTCAGTTACATTACACACTAGTTCAAGACCCTAAGAGAAGAGCGTGCTGCGTGCACACGGGGTGGTCACTCACGGCACAGGGTCCGGGGCCGGAACGCCTGGCTGAGTTCCTGCTCCTTTCCTGACAAGTCTCAGAACGTTGGGTTTAATGATTATTCCTACCTCAGGGAGTTAGGAAGACTAATGAGTTAATACACAAAGTGCTTAGACCAGGGTCTGCTCTGTATTAAATAATAAATGTCAGCTATTATTATAAAAATGATTAACTGAAGAAATCTATCAGCTACCCTAAAAAGCCAAGATACTGATAGTACTCTAAAAACTAAGTTTCTTTTGGTCAGCAATAAACTCCCTGGTTGCAACAAGTCAAGTCCATGCAATGCCCAGGCTTCAGTTATGTAATTCCTGCCTGTGTTATTTTCAAGGTTATTACAGAAGCTACTGTGGGAAGTCCCATCTTTTACTCTGTGCAAAAAGGAACCCAGAATACTATTTGATAAGAATGGGTCTCTCTGTTCTGACAGGAACACCACTGATTTGCTCTAAGGAGACTAGATAAACCACTTGTTCTATTAACTAAACTTAAAAAAGAAAATCGAATCATCTATTAAACAACTAGAAAAATACCTCTTATTCAAATCCGATGCCATTAACAGCTGCTTCTCAGAGTTGACTGGTTCATCCTATAGCAAACTATTCTACAGAAAAATCAACCATTTTCCTTTTATCAGCTGTACCATTCAATAATCACTTTTTTGCCCCAGCTAAATGGTCTAAGACTATCCTGACTTTGACATCTCTCGGAAGCCCACCAACAACGATCACGCCCTACCTTCTTAGAGCCCCGCTGAATGCTACAGTTCTTGCAGGACACGTTTTTACTGTCCCAGTGGTCAGCGGCTCCACAAGTAAGACAGAGGTCGGGGTCACACTCTCGGACAGCCAGGTAGCACGGGCACTGCTTGGTGTTGCACTGGGCTTTGCAGCGGCATCCCGGAAAGCGGTTCTGACCTTCAGAGAGATGTTCTTCGTCAGACGAAAACCTTGCCTAATGGTGCAGCTCAAGTCTGGCGCTAAGGCCCTGATTAATGCACGGAGGCCTCACAACAACTGTATTATCCCATCGTACACATGAGGAAAGGGAAGTAACAGGAAAGTTAAAGCTGTCCATACTGAAAGAGATCACTGAGTTCCTGTCTCCCCTTTTTTGTCTGTTAGATGGCATGTGTACGTACAGTTCTTTGATTTATAAAGCAGGTGTGAAGGAAGGATTTGGACTACATAATATCCACGGATCTCAACCATTCCGATAGTCAGAGTTCTAGGTACTTCCTTGGTATCCAGGCTTCAGTGCAGTTTCATTAAATCATTACAGTCGCTACCCTGATGCTACACATTCCTGTATTCTGAAGACTAAACCCACCTCACTCGTAACAGTTTCTGGTGTCCGAGAAGTATCTGGGTAGCTATTTCTAGAGTCCCCTTCCATTCTGTGTCAGCTCTACTATGATTTAAGTTAAATGATCAAGGGGGAAAAAATAAAAGCTCCTTTAACCCACATTCGCCTAAACCTGCCCACATACCGCGTCAGCCAGGAGGCTGGCTGGATACAGGCCCAGCGCCACTCCTGGGCGCCACGCATGCTCGTGGCATAAGTGAACCTCCCAAAGGGAAGAGCACGCAGGAGCTGCCGTGTCCTTGTGCCGACTGAGGTTACAGTTTTAAATTGCTGGCCAACAGCCTATTGAATTCTCACGTAATCACATCAAGACAACATACTTACACTCTGAACTACATTGACAAAACTTTTCACAAAAATTCTGGGCTATCACACAAGGGCACGAGCTGTCGCAAGGCTGCCGCGGGTGGTCACAGGGCTGGTAGTTGTAAACATGGTTGGAAGAGCCGTCTGCACAGAGACAACAGCACCACGTCAGTCCAGAGAGCGGCAAGGGGAGCACACGCCCAACAAGCACATGCTCTCCCCGTGGCCCTCCGAGCTTAGCGGGTTGTCTTTCCGTGTCCGCAACATCACACACACTGTTTACAACAGGTCAGCAGAAATTAGCCCCACCCGCCAAGAGCTCGGGAACCCTGGGGCACTGTCACACACACCTCAGTCAGGTTCCCAGAGTCGTTCTCCTCTAACCGACTGGAAATTAATCAACAGACAGCCTCCATTTAATGCACTTCTGTGCATTAAACTTCAGTGCACCAAAGTCGGTTATATTAGAATATCCCAAACTCTAATCCAATTACTATTCTAAGACACGAGAAGTAGACCGAGTTACTAATGAAGCTGAACGGAAAGGTGCCGACCCTTCTTCAGCTGTATCTTTCTGCAGTGCGCAGCCCACAACCTGCAAAACACAAAGGAAGAAAACATCACCCTCGTGACCTGGGGCGCACAGTCAGCCACATGTCAACAATCGCAACTTAAATGCGTCAACCTGGGCCACGAATGCAGCAGGGCTCTCAATCCAAGTAACCATGGAAGAGGAGCCGCGCCGCCCAGCTCACACCTGGCGCAGCTGCGAGCAACGTGGGAGCAGCTTACGGGCTGTGGCCTCAGAGAGCCAGCCCAGCCCCCTGGGGCAGGTTTATCCTAGTGTGGATGATTCTGACACAGCACACCTGCTCTCATTTCTGGAATCTTGCATCATTTCAACTGAGCTATATGGTCAGAGAGAATCCAAGCAAAAAATGCCGAGGCGTCTACTAAAGCCTGAATTAAGCTGTAGACAGTTTCTGAAGCATAATGTAGACGTTCCCTTACCCAACACCCAACTATGTTTCTAAAAAGAAAAAAAGGACCGGGTGGTGGTTACAGCAAGTAGTCCATCCAGCCTCCACACATCCGAGTCTGCCTGACACCTTCACTGCCCCCGTCACTCGCTCACCCAGGCCGACGGCAGGGTGGGCGTGGAAAACTCAGGCTCCTAGAGTGAAAACCGGCCCAGAGCTCACAGCCTCCCAAGATCCACACACGAATGCCAAGTAAGGGTTTATGCAGCCTTCACTGCAGAAGCTACTCAATAATTCTTCGTGACCAAAATGTAGCATAGTAATCATAAAATTTTTATGACTCAACACACCAAATCTCCTGACAGCCACTGTGTTCTTACAGAAAAATGCCAGCAATGCCCATGGAAACAAGACCCCACAGGCCTATTTCTGAGGCCACTTAAGCTTCCTTCCTAATCAACGGAGTGGAGCCACCACTGCCCTCACGAGCGCCAGGCCTGCAGCGGCCTCCGCATCACGCCGCAGACTCACCGGTGTTTCCTCTTCTTCTTCCTGGGAGGGGTGTCAACGTCCTCGGCGGGGGCTGGCGCTATGACACTGGATTCTTTGACTCGAAACTCATACACCTGACAAGAGGCAAGGTCACAGGGCCGTGAGGATCATCTCTTTAAGCAAACCAGTCTCCTGCTCATTCCCACCAGAAACTCTTTGTCTGTCCTGGGACGCTGCTGCGATTACACTCTTACTGAGAGTCATGAGGCTAAATCTAAATCGTTCCTGGTTTTTAAAACCCATCGCCAGGATTCCCTGGCTGTCCAGTGGTTAGGACTCTGCACTTACACTGCAAGGGACACAGGTTCGATCCCTGTTTGGGGAACTAAGATGCCATGTGCCGTGCAGCATGGCCAAAAAACAAATAAATGAATGAATAATAAAATAAGATAGAACCCATTGCCAGCTAACCTAAAACATCTAAAGTTGAATGAGTAATTTCCTTTCAGTATCCTCTCAGTGAAAAAAAAAATTTTTATACTTCTTTTCAGAGGAACAGCAGTTTGATAACCACGAATGTTCGTATGTTTGGACAGTGACCACATATTTCTCCATTTGAAGCTCACAGTATTTTTATCAGGCACACTTACCTGTCGACATGTTTTGGTCCCAATCAACCTGGCGATGGCACAGAAATTGTCGTAGTACGTGCCGATGAGGACCCTGAACATGGAGGCCTCAGCGCCACTCCACTCCACGTTCTCGGGGGGCTCAGCGTTGGGCTTCATCTTTATTGGTGTTTGACACCGAGAATTCGCTTCTACGAAACCAAAGTTAAGCAATGGTCAAGAAATAGCAATGGGAGGAAGGAAAGGGAAAGGGAAGGAAGTATCAGTAAGCTTTTCCCCCATGGAAACCATGAGAGCAGGCTCCCTTTAACTCAGCCTTCTAAAATGAGAGCAAATGGGGTTACCGTCCTGTTACTTATGGTGTAATCCTAGGGCTGAGAAGACACTCCATAACATACTAGTCAGTGGTTCTAATTCTCTCTCCTAACCAACACTACCCACAGGGCGTCAGGAGGATTCAACTGAATGATGAGAATTCCATCATGCCCCTGTGAAAGCTGGAAAAAGGAAAGTGACCCAAAGAGTGAAAATAAACCGGATGGTCAACTTGCAAGTAACCCAGACAGATCAACAGCACAGGCGAGGGCTGGGTGTGGGCCAGAAGAGAGCAGTAAGAGTCACAGCCACACAGCTGTGCTCCTGGGTGTCTCACCGTGTCTGTAACTAACCAACCGAGGGAAGTAACTGACACCTTACACGACCCAAACCTCGACAGCATGAGCCCTCCGAGCGGCAGGAAGACCCCGTCACCAGACGCGTCTCACCTGAGGAACTGGAGGTCTCGTCCTTCTTCTCCTCCTCTTCCTTGTCGTTGCCCTCCCCTCCAGTCTCGGTCCCCGCCTCCCTGTCACTGTCCGTGTCCTTCGACTCGAGCACGTTGGTGGTGGGGGTGCCGGGCCTGCTGCTGTTGTTGGGGAGCCGCCCTCTCCTGCGGCCGCCTGGGCGCTTCGGGGGCGTCTTTATCCGCTCGGCAGTGAGGGCGGCAGCAAACTCCTTCGCGCCCTCCTACGAAGGAGGAAAAGTGCAGACATCAGGGTAAAGTTCTGCAGCTCATTTTGGCGGAGGAGAAAAAGAAAAGGATGGCGTGAGCACGCTCGTCAAATGCAGCACAGCATCCGGCTCTCACAAACAGTCGCACACCTACATACAACTGTTTTCTATCTGCTTTTGAGGGTTTGAAGATTTGCGAAAGATAAATATGGCTTCCGTACAGTGCCAGAGCAGCACAAAATCAGGCAAGACGGCTCTATATTAACTGATTATGAGTTAAATAGAAATATACTTTCGGTAACAGTCTATTTAAAAGTGAATTTTAAGAGGAAGCACACATCTAATGTGCATCTAAAGTCACACTTTCCTATTTCAGGGTTTCTTAAGCCAACATGTCCCCTTCTAAGGTAATATTTAAAGTATACAAGAAGAAAACAAAACATGTACACATACTCCACTCTTTCACTTTCTGCCTTACAAGTAAAACATCCCATTTATTTTTTCCCTGTGAGGGATGCACAACCCAGGAAGACATGAAAGGAACTCGACGAACAAGGCGGTGAGGGTTACATTCTGCGTTACCAGGTGTAATAATCCAGTCTCGGAAAGTATACAACAACGGGAAGGGCGTGGATTATAGAGATACCACAGACACATTTTAGATGAGCCAAATAAAATTCTGCCTTGTAAGGAATATTATATATAAAACAGTGCTCAAGAATTCCATTTTTAGTGGCAATAGAAGGGAGAAGTCTGAGAGCAGCCAACAGTTTTATACTTCATTCTACAAAAACCAAATTGCTTAAAAATAGGATACCTTCTGCAGGTGCCATTCAATGAATCTTCTGTCCAAAATCCAACAGGCAATATATACCCATTTAGTTCCTAGGTAGGAGTGGCTTGGTTCAAAGAGGGGAAATGGTAAAAATAAGATAGTACCCGTAAAAAACAACTTTTCTACCTCATTTTCCTAAACCCTTACCTTTTCTCCATCATTAAAAAAAAATAAATAAACATACAAAACCTCTCCAGGGCCTATATATAATATAGCTCAACTACAGAGGGTCTACAACTCAAAGAAGGGCTATGGCTCTGAGCAAGGCCCGGGAACTACTGCACTTCTGGGGTTTAAAAGGGTCCTCTGTGCTTCCCATTCTCGTAAGCTCTGTGGAGGTACAGGAGGCCTGGATCCTAAAGACCTCCATACGCTGCTGAAAAGACTAACAGAGATAAAGAATAACGCGAGATAACGAAAGACTAGAACGTGCAGTACTACCAAGAAATGTGACTGAGAAACCTCTGCTATCATATGGCCAATCAAAGTATGGGAACAGTGAGGTTACCGCTGACTTTACAGACCTCACCGAAGTTCAAAATTAAGACTTCTCCAATTCCCTCTGGAGCCCCGCTGTGCATGCTTACCAAGTGCTGGTAACACTGGGGGCCGCAAGGCTTGTTGTCCAGAGCCGTCTCCGTGTTCTTCCGCTTGTAAGTGTTGGGTGTCGCATGAAAAGCTGCAAAATAAACGTAAAATATCCAAACATAACTAACATTACTTTACACATAAACATAACATTACTTTTCCAAAGGAGAAAGTCAATTACTACATTACACTTTTGCTAATAATGTTTACATTACAGAACTTTCCTTCAAGCTCTCATTGAATTTCCACAATGTATTCTCCTCAGGTCTCCCCCAGAACACCTGAGCGCTAATTATAAACATTTATTTGGGTCTTGAATGTCTCCATAGAAACAACTGATGTATCCTCTACACAGAAATCAGATTTCCTCTTTTTACAAAAGAATTCTGACATCTACAATTTATCGATTTCCAAAGAAAGGTCAGCAATCAGCTTGTCAAATGGGGGAGAAGAATGGGACACCAATTGTTAAAAACCAGTTTTAAAAGATAATGAGGACAGCCTCGGAATACTACAAGTCAATTTCTTTGAATCACACACAATTCAAGAACCCAGCGGGAGCCTGCACAGTCAGCACCCTTTCTGCAGGAAAATACAATGGTCAGATAAAACAGGTTTTAGAAAGATAAAAGTGTTTGACACTTAAGATTCCCAAATAATATAATAATATAACAGAAAAATTCAAAGTCCAGCACACTGGTATACTAACAAGTATGAAAGCGCAGCAGCGAGAACTTCAGACAACTTGGGGAGGCTCTGCTTACAGCGCATAAAGGCAAATACTAGAAATGCCCTATCCAGAATTACACAAGATGAAAATTAATCTGGATGAAAACAAGTGACAGATTCATGAAATAAATCATTTAAAAAATGAGCCATGGCCGCTGAGCCTGCGCGTCCGGAGCCTGTGCTTCGCAACGGGAGAGGCCACAACAGTGAGAGGCCCGCGTACCGCAAAAAGGAAAAAAAAAAAAAAAGCCATACTTCTATCCATAGAACTTAAATGGGAAATGAAGACAGTGATGAGGGAAGGAAAAAAAGTTATGTTCTTAAAATAGAAATTCAAGGCTCAGACTGTTTCAAGTATGTGAGTTGGTTTTTCCCAGAACAAGAGCCTGATACCATATGACTTATTTAGCACTGAATTACATTTTGCACAGGTGAAGACCCCTAAAATACAGAGTGAGCACTAGAAGATTAAGGTCACATAAGCAGAAGGAATTACATCCATCCAAAAACAAAATCGTCCTGAGCCAGAGGCACATCCTGACTGACACGCTTTAGGTGAAACCTGTGTTTAGTCTGGATGTCTCCTCTAGTACATACTATAGTTAGAGACTGATAGTTTTGCTCCAATTCACTGAAGAAGACACACATGTATCTGTATACACACACACGTACACAAATGAGGACAGCAGCCTCTGCTGGTGATGAGACAGAAGAAGCCGCTAAGTCAGGACTAGGTAACAGTATCAGCATCATAAGCCACAATTAAACAGTCTCCAAGGTAAGAACAAATTCAGGCCATAAAGGAAAAGTCAGCATGCTAATAATAAAAGTACTTTAAAAATTTTTAAAGTACCATTCTTCATCTCACATTGCATTTAGCTAAAGAAAGAGAACTATTCTTACGACCAGATTTCCTTCAGCAAAATTTCCAACTTCAATTCTTTAGGAAAACTAAGTATATAAAGAATTCCCTCTTCTAGAAATGTCCTGACTATTTTTTTAACATCTTTATTGGACTATAATTGCTTTACAATGGTGTGTCAGTTTCTGCTTTATAACAAAGTGAATCAGTTATACAGATGTCCCCGTATCTCTTCCCTCTTGTGTCTCCCTCCCTCCCACCCTCCCTATCCCACCCCTCCAGGTGGTCACAAAGCACCGAGCTGATCTCCCTGTGCTATGCGGCTGCTTCCCACTAGCTATCTATTTTGTATTTGGTAGTGTATAATGTCCATGCCACTCTCTCACTTTGTCCCAGCTTACCCTTACCCCCTCCCCGTATCCTCAAGTCCATTCTCTAGTAGGTCTGAGTCTTTATTCCCGTCTTGCCCCTAGGTTCTTCGTGACTTTTGTTTTTCTTAGATTCCATATATATGTGTTAGCATACGGTATTTGTTTTTCTCCTTCTGACTTACTTCACTCTGTATGACAGACTCTAGGTCCATCCACCTCACTACAAATAACTCAATTTTGTTTCTTTTTATGCGTAATATTCCATTGTATATATGTGCCACATCTTCTTTATCCATTCATCTGTTGATGGACACATAGGTTGCTTCCATGTCCTGGCTATTGTAAATAGAGCTGCAATGAACATTGTGGTACATGACTTTTTGAATTATGGTTTTCTCAGGCCATGTACCCAGTAGTGGGATTGCTGAGTCATATGGCAGTTCCATTTTTAGTTTTTTAAGGCACCTCCATACTGTTCTCCATAGTGGCTGTATCAATTTACATTCCCACCAACAGTGCAGGAGGGTTTCCTTTTCTCCACACCCTCTCCAGCATTTATTGTTTGTAGATTTTTTGATGACGGCCATTCTGACCGGCGTGAGATGGTATCTCATTGTAGTTTTGATTTGCATTTCTCTTAATGATTAATGATGTTGAGCATTCTTTCATGTGTTTGTTGGCAATCTGTATATCTTCTTTGGAGAAATGTCTGTTTAAGTCTTCAGCCCATTTTTGGATTGGGTTGTTTGATTTTTTGATATTGAGCTGCATGAGCTGCTTTTAAATTTTGGAGATTAATCCTTTGTCAGTTGCTTCATTTGCAAATATTTTCTCCCATTCTGAGGGCTGTCTTTTGGTCTTGTTTGTGGTTTCCTTTGCTGTGCAAAAGCTTTTAACTTTCATTAGGTCCCATTCGTTTATTTTTGTTTTTATTTCCATTTCTCTAGGAGGTGGGTCAAAAAGGATCTTGCTGTGATTTATGTCATAGAGTGTTCTGCCTATGTTTTCCTCTAAGAGTCTTGACTATTTTAGACTTCCAGAAAACTGAAAATAATCTTTTCAAATAGACATCTTAAAATACTAGTATTTGCAATACATTATTAAAATGTATTTCAAACTAAGTATAATATGGGCAGGTTGGAGAGAAGATTATATAAAATTCCCTGATCAGGAAAATTATCAGATGGAAAATTAAAGCAAGATACTTAAAAGTTTCACAAAAAGAAAAGAACATGGATATTAAAGGCTTTTTTTTCCTTTAATTTCAAAAGCAACTTAAAAGAATCTTGGTGCAATATCTTATCTAAAGGTTTTCAAGCAAAGGTAAAAGACTTATAAATTGTAATATACAATTCTAGCTACGCTCTAGGCCTGTATTGGAGATTAAAGTCCCTCTAATAGAAAAGATCCATGATCAGATACCAAGCTTCTGGCCCAGATGAACTGCCAATCCCCTGCCATCAGTATATCTTCCGGGACTTCCTTGGTGGGGCAGTGGTTGAGAATCCGCCTGCCAATGCAGGAGACACAGGTTTGAGCCCTGGTCTGGGAAGATCCCACATGCCGTGGAGCAACTAAGCCCATGCGCCACAACTACTGAGCCTGTGCTCTGGAGCCCGCGAGCCACAACTACTGAGCCCACATGCCACATCTACTGAGGCCACGTGCCACAACTACTGAGCCTGTGCCACAACTACTGAGCCTGTACCACAACTACTGAAGCCCACGCGTCTAGAGCCCGAGCTCCACAACAAGAGAAGCCACAGCAATGAGAATCCCGCGCACCACAAGGAAGAGTAGCCCCTGCTCGCCGCAACTAGAGAAAGCCTGCGTGCAGCAACGAAGACCCAACGCAGCCAAAAATAAATAAATTAATTAATTATTTTTAAAAAAGAACATTTTCCTTAGAGATAAAAGTGGCAGACACCCCTAACATCTAAATAACAAGTAAGGCCCAACATCAGTGAGGCTGCCAGCACAGAAATAATAAAAACAGTTAACATCCAAAAAAGGCCTCTTCACAATGAAGTTTTAAAAAGTCTCCCTTTGGGCTTCCCTGGTGGCGCAGTAGTTGAGAGTCTGCCTGCCGATGCAGGGGACACGGGTTCGTACCCCAGTCCGGGAAGATCCCACATGCCGCAGAGCGGCTAGGCCCGTGAGCCACGGCCGCTGAGCCTGAGCGTCCGGAGCCTGTGCTCCGCAACGGGAGAGGCCACAACAGTGAGAGGCCCGCGTACCGCAGGAAAAAAAAAAAAAAAAAGTCTCCATTCAACAATGAGTTAAAGGAAATACAAAACATTCCCTCAAGTTCCTTTAAAAAAAAAATAGTAATAATACCAAATATCGGAACCTAAAAGAAGTTGAAACAGCGCTCTAGAGACAACTCACTGTGTTAAAATACATACATCCAAAAAAAGAGGAAAGAATGAAAATGACACAAACATCAGATTCACAAAAAGAAAAACAGTAAAAACTAATACAGTAGCTGATTCTCTGAGGGAAAAATATACAAAACAGATTTTCTAAATAAAATATATAAACCACTTCTTAATCTCTTCAAGAAAAAAAGAATCAAACACGGAAGAACAATCAAAGAAATAAAAGAAATTAAAAGAATTATTAGAACATGCAGATCAAATTATACAAATAAATTTCAAAATCAGAATGAAACGGGTAATTTCCCAAAACTGATCGAGGAGCAGTAGGAAATGTATCTCCTAGCACCACTATTATTTAACATGCACTGAAGATACAGTTAGACAGGAGAAAGTAGTTAAAGTTACAAAGATTGGAAAGAAAGCAAAACCATTCATAACTGTAGATAATTACAGCTGGAAAACTCAAAAGAATCTATGCAGAAACTATCACAAACAAGGACAGCTCAGTAAAGTAGCAGGGTATCAAACATATATGATACAAGGGGAAAAGCCCAACACATTTAATGCCTAGAAATCATCTTACCAAAGAATGTAAATACAAGAGTTACGGGGAGAAAATCAGAAAGCTTATTTTAAAGGACAAAAGGAGACTTATCCCATAATTAAGACATACTCTTATTTTAAATTGTCAATTTCCCCTTAGATAATTTATAAATTTAATGAGATTCCAATAAACATACCACCTAGACTTTTTTTTTTTTTTTCAGTACGCGGGCCTCTCACTGCTATGGCCTCCCGTTGCAGAGCACAGGTTCCGGACGCGCAGGCTCAGTGGCCATGGCTCACGGGCTCAGCCGCTCCGCGGCACGTGGGATCTTCCCGGACCGGGGTACGAACCCGTGTCCCCTGCATCAGCAGGCGGACTCTCAACCACTGCGCCACCAGGGAAGCCTCTAGACTTTTTAATTAGACAAACTGGTTCTAAAATTTATATAGAAAAACAAGAATGGCCAGGAGATCTCTGAATAAAGCCCCTTGGACAGACTCAAGGAAAGGAACCCAAAGACCAGAAACAGACCCCAGCACCTGTGGTGACAGTGATGAAGGCAGCGGCTCAGGGCAGCCCCAGAGGGACTTGTCAATAGATGGTGTGGAGGGAAGAGATATGGGAACATATGTATATGTATAACTGATTCACTTTGTTATAAAGCAGAAACTAACACACCATTGTAAAGCAATTATACTCCAATAAAGATGTTAAGGGGCTTCCCTGGTGGCGCAGTGGTTGAGAGTCCGCCTGCCGATGCAGGGGACACGAGTTCATGCCCCGGTCCGGGAAGATCCCATGTGCCGCAAAGCGGCTGGGCCCGTGAGCCATGGCCGCTGAGCCTGAGCGTCCGGAGCCTGTGCTCCGCAGCGGGAGAGTCCAAAACAGTGAGAGGCCCGCGTACTGGAGAAAAAAAAAAAAAAGATGGTGTGGAAACAGTAGCCCTGGAGATGCAGAGAACGAGTTGGATCCAAAATTCTAACAGAATAAATTCCAAACGGATCAAAGAGTTAGATGTTATTCCCCCAAAAAAGAAAATAGCACCAAAAGCCTAAAACGTACTAGAAAAAAAGTGAGACGTCCTTTAAAACCTTGGAGTAGTAGGGAAAGCCAACTGATAAATTCATCTACCTTAAAGGTTTTTTTTTTTTTTTAACTTTGCTATGGGATTTTTACCAAACAACAAACTGGAAAAAAAAACCCACTGCAACTCATCTCAAAAAATTTCCTGACTATATAAAGAGCTTCAAGATATCAAAAAGACCAACAAAGCCAAAAGGATAAAAATAGTTCAGAGAAAATACAAATCTCTTAATCATACAGGAAGAAAAATGCAAATTAAATTACGCTAAAAAGCATTTTACTAATTCAATCAATAAAATCAAAGTTTGTTTTTTAACACACTCTATTGGCTGGGCTCTGGGAAACAGGCACTCTTACTTTGCTGGTAGTTCTTTAAATTGGCAGAGCCCCGTATGGCAGGTAGTTTGGCACTGCCTACACAGAGTGGACCGGGTTAACCTGCACTTGTGGGAAAGGACGTACAGGTCCACCACACAAGGTTATTCACTGCGGCACCATTACCATAAATGTTGACCTTCGGGGGACGGGCTCAGTACAGCAGAAGACTATGCAGCTGTCCAGACAGGAATAATATCTACAATGTTAAGTCCAACAGGGAAAACACCTGGAGAGTATGGCACTATTTGAATAGGGTGGTTGGGAAAAGAGAGGAATGTATTTGTATTTGCCAGAAGAAACTACAGAAAGACACAGAACAACTAACAGCAGAAGTGGTTTACCTACAGGGGAGTGAGGATGCGGACAGGAGGGGTGGGGGATTTCGCTGGATGCCTTTTAATGCTTTTTGGAAATGTAAGTCATGTGAATGATGATTTATTTTAAAAAGAACAATAGCTAAACACACGCCAAGTGCTATTTTAAGTATTTTGCACATAGTAAATAATAAATTTAATCCTCATGACAGTTTGTAGTATTCCCATTAGACAAAGAACAAAAAGCACAAAATGCTATATTTAACAGGTATGTTTAATAATGTATTTAATGACTTCTTTTACCTAAGAAAAATATATAGTGTGTGATATTTTGTCCAAGTCAGTGTAAAGCAATTAAATGCCTGTAGAATGTGTTAGGGTTACACTATGAAGAGCCTGGCTCTAGTGGAACAAGGGGGAAGGGTGGGCACAGCAGGGCTGGACCCGCGTCTCCGACGCACTGCAGTGAGCAGCCCACCGGTCAGTCCCAGAGAACCAGCTTCATTAAGCACAACACTTTTCTCCTCCTCTCCCCAGCATGAATAATGAGACGATGAGCAGGTTCCAGGTTCATCCAAATTACTCAGATTGGAATAGCACAATAAAATAACTCTTGTAATAATGTTTAAAAGTAGTACCCTCCTGCCTTGGCTCATCTGTACAAAAAAGGTCCATCAAATGCTACATCTATAAACAACAAATTGGAGGGACCACTGCATTGACTCCAATGAAAGAGCTCCCACCAACTTTTTTGCTATAGTGATATCTGAATGCAATTTACAGTATTCTTAAGAACTGGACATTATGTTATAAAATGATCATGTGTAAAGGGGAATTAAATGCAATTCAAAACAACTACTTCAAGGCCTGTGTAACGACAATGCTGCCAAGCCCAAGTAAGTAAGCCTACAATGGCTGGAGTATGGCTGGCTTCTACGGATTATTACAACTACCAAGTCATCAATTTAGGAGCACGGACAACAGCTGCAAGGAGATACAATGGTAATTCAGAAAGTCTACTTCAAGTTTTTCTAAATTAAGATAACTAAACCACTAATACTTCACACACACATACACACAAACACACAAATGACCATTTCCAGACCTAGATACACATCACGTAACAAATTATGTGCTGCAGCAAACATTAAGTAGATAGAGCAAAAACTCAAAATAAGGCAAGATATAGCTGCTTAGGCAGCTAATTAACATTAAGAGGTACCACTGGAAAATGAGGGAAAAAATTGTAAAAGGTGGGCACAGGAACTCCAAAAGGGCAAAGCAACATGAACCCATTTAGCACAGAGACAAAGGTGTTATGCCACAGATGGTCACACAAAACTCTAATGTGGAAAAAGCTAACCTACATTAAGTAAACTCTGCTTAGGAACCAGGAGGTATGAAATATATTTTCAAAAAACATGCCTCAAAAGTAGCTGGTACTTTCTAAATCGTACTTAATTAAGTTCCAGGTACCTGGAAATTTTACTAAGAAACTTCATTCCCCAGCAATGTCAGAAAAAGAAAGTAATATCCTATGTACCATACGTAAATCTCATTAAGAACATGTTATGCTTTACCTGTATTCAAATGCAGGTGTTTTTAAAAGCAACATATTCAGAGGATGCCCCTCCCCCCCAAAAAAAACCCAGATTTGGCACTAAACAGACAAGAATATATAGAAACACCTTTTTAGCCAATTTCTTATTCACCAAGTTATTCATCAGTATTGGCAATGTTGCTCTGGGCCATCAGCTAGGTCACAGTAAGTTTTATTATAAAACAATTGTTCGGTTAGCATTTATGGAAAAATCACTGATCTGTATTCCAAGTTAGTGGGAGACAGAGCAGTGTCAGCTTAACATGTGCAAAAGACTTCAGAGCAACCCTTAAGCAGCAAATTAGAAAATAACAATACTATGATGCTAACATATTTTTCAGTCGTAACTGCAAGATTAAATGACAAATTCTAGTGGTAATCAATGACACTTCCCAAGTTGCTTTAACACATAATTCCACAACAAAGATAGAAAATGTAAACGTACAATAACTGCACTTACGATGTAGGAAGCAGTCATATTTAAAACATCGCCTACAGAAAAGCGTATGAAATGAGTGCAAGCTCTGCTCCCTCTGAACAGACTTGGCGTTTGGTCCATCTATGTTGGGGGTACACTCAGGGGGAAGTGCACCTGGGAGCTGCTGCTCAGTGAGTTCTTTGTACCTAACATTAACCAAGAAAAATGGAAGTAAAGGTGAAACAAGAATTACATCTTTGAAAATAAATTTTCTACAAGATTTCTGTGTATTATTTTTGATGTTTATCTTGCCTAAAACACACAAAGAAGTTTAGCCTACAACAATATTTAAATGAAGAGCCAATTAAATATTATGCATGGTATATCAAGAAACGAATTCACTAATGTGATTCAGATCTGTCATGAAAAATGTTACTATATTCATTAAAATGAAACATCAGCTGCACTAAAATTTCTACAGGCGTCCCAAGAGATTTCCTCTTACACGCATTCCTGTAAATTGTGTGTATACGTGGGCGTGTCTGCACGCGCGCGCGCAAATTTATCCCATCTACCATAAATGGAGTACAGGGTACCAGATACATACACGTATTACTTCAAGTATCCTGCAGATGTTGGGAACACACGAAGTGGGGAGCTCACTGGCTACAGTAGTTCCATTTCTAAAGAACCAAAATGGTGAGTTAAAGACCATACGAGGCAAAACCATGGCCAAAGAACAAATCTTACTTTTCCTTTAGCTCTTCTGCTGTGCCCTTATCTGGAAACATTGAGGAAATAGCTTCAAAAATTTTATCAGAAGGAAATTTCCGAGGTGGGCGACTTTCTTTATCTAAACAGGGAAATGTGAAAGGAAAAAAGAATGAAAGTGAACAAGCTTGCCAGTCTTTCATTTCCCTCGTGCCTAACGAAGCTGCCTTCCCAGGAAATTGCCAGCTCTGTTTCACTTCCTTCCGACAAATCTCACAAGGACCTGGGAGGCTGGTGGGCCAGACGAAACTCAAACTCAAGCGTGGGAAGCTGCAAGTGCGCCGGGAGGCTCAGCCCCTAACTGACGCCGCGGCCCTGTCTGGCCACTGACCCACCTTGGCTGTAAAATGAGGAGCCAGGTGATCACTAAGGCGCCTGTTATAAAAAACTGTACGCTTCTTTGAAACTGCAATTTTCCCCCATATTCTTCTATGCTGTCTTAATAACGAGCTTTGTCCGGTCGTCACCAACTGCCAAGCTCTAAGTTGGGACCCTCTAATTTTCTGGCAAACCGTAATTAGTGTAGCGGTTAAAACGTATGCTCTGGGGTCAGTTAGAGCTGGTTCCGAACACAGCATTTTCTGGGTTCTGTTTCCTCCCAATACTGTGATCTTAAGTTACTTCACCTCACTAAACCCATCTCCTCAACTATGGGGTGGATCTGATGATAAAAGCCACCTCGTGGAATATTATGAGAATTAAATGTCTATACGCATATAAAGTGAAGAGCACACAACTTGTTCATAGTCAATGACCAGTATGCTATATATATGTTATATAATGATTATGATGACTGCCCAGGGAAACCAAAAACAAAACGTTATTTTGCTAGCCAAGGGAAATAAAGTGCAGGATGAAATGTTATAAATAATATTCTAATTTTGATTATACTACCACTGATATGATATTTAACAAAAGAAAAAAGAAGGAAGGAAGATTTACCTATACTCTATTGTTTTTGAAAATTGCTGTAATGGCTACACGCAAATGTAACAGACAGACGTACCTTCTCGGTTCTCCTCTAGATCTTTCTGTTTTTCTTCTCTTTCATCAGGATCATCTCCATCATCATCATCATCATCGTCATTGTATTGACCAAGAGCATTCACCAACTCCACAAAAATTTCATCATTTATAAACCCACATTCTGAAATTCATCAAGTCAAATATCAGAAATACACAAAAGTTCACCTATGCTTTTGTTAATTTGTAAGAAACAGCTGGAGCCTATCAATCAGTACCATAACACTATTATTAAAATGCAGTGAGGAAAGATCATTTTCAGGACTGGCCTGAGGCAAAGTCAGAAGTAGTACTTATCCTCAACACCTGTCATTTTCACAAGTTTCCAGTGCCTGCGACCACAGCCTAATTCTCTAGAGACTAACTATGGCCTTCGCCTCCTTCCAAACAATGCCTCTGCCAGACCTTGCTGTCCACTCCTGACAGGAACATGTGAGGATGTTACACGTTACCCTCCTGCCAGGAACTTTAACAGGGTCTCCTGTTAAATCACCAAAGCTGTGATTCTAATGACAGGATTTCAGGTCCTGTGGTTGCCTAGTGGGGAAGGTATTTTTGAACATAGGGCCTTTTGGAGCCCATGTCACATAAGCAGAAGCCCTATTCCTCACTGATTTTATTGCTAAAGAATCTTAAAATCTACATACACTCAAACAATTCTATTTAATTTACATGTTATTGACATCAGAGTTTGTTATGACCAGCTATGAATTATTTTCAACTGGCAAGCATGATCCTTCAATTTAAAAATAGGGTGCTAACACATATATATGGAATCTAAAAAAAAAAAATGGGGCTTCCTTGGTGGCTCAGTGGTTAAGGATCCGCCTGCCAACACAGGGGACACAGGTTCGAGCCCTGGTCCGGGAGGGTCCCACATGCCATGGAGCATATAAGCCCGTGCACCACAACAACTGAGCGTGCACTCTAGAGCCCGTGAGCCACAACTACTGAGCCTGTGCTCTGGAGACTGCGAGCCACAACTACTGTTTTAAAAAAGTAATAAAATATCAATTCTCTGGCTGCGTTTCCAAGAGAATAAACACATGACTCACCTCTATCCCCGTGTACTTTTCCATCATAATTTTTTATTAGTTCTTCAATGAAAGTCCCGTCCTGGTCTAAAACTTCATCCCCCATGTAAGGAATGTTATGTAAAACAGTTTCATCTTCCACCTGAAAGTAAAAAATATTTAAAAAGCAGGCTTATCCTGAGTATCAAATTTTTTAAGAGTAAACGTAACATAACTGAAATACAACAATATTTTTTCATAAGTAGATGTCTGTACCCAGTTCTCCAGATCTAAAATAATAGACATCAAATTCTAAAAGCCACAAAGAAGTAAAAAACCCTTCATATCAATAAGCATATCTGAGAAAACAAACTGTTTACAGGGAAATAATTTAAGAAAAAATACTGTATTACCTAATCTGTCATCAATCATTAAAACTTACCGTTATTTTATGTACCTCTAAGAAAGGAAAAAATGCTGCAAATTACGATTCATCATCAATTTTAAGACATGCCTATTTCAGACGTTTCAAAGTTTTCTTAGGATCGATGAAATATGGTTTATCAAAACCAGCGAGGGCTTTCCTGGTGGTGCAGTGGTTAAGAATCTGCCTGTGAATGTAGGGGCCACGGGTTCGAGCCCTGGTCCAGGAAGATCCCACATGCCGTGGAGCAATTTAGCCCATGCGCCACAACTACTGAGCCTGAGTACTGCAACTACTGAAGCCCACGCGCCTATAGCCCACGCTCCGCAACAAGAGAAGCCACCATGATGAGAAGCCCGCGAACTGCAACGAAGAGTAGCCCCCGCTCGCCCCAACTAGAGAAAGCCCGCGCGCAGCAATGAAGACCCAATGCAAAGACAAAATAAATAAATTTATTAAAAAAAGGATATTCCACAAAAAAAGGACCCATAAATAACCATACCCCCAAAAAAGGAAAAGGAAATAAAAACTAATGTAAGGGCTTCCCTGGTGGCACAGTGGTTGGGAGTCCGCCTGCCGATGCAGGGGACACGGGTTCGTGACCCAGTCCGGGAAGATCCCACATGCTGCAGAGCGGCTAGGCCCGTGAGCCATGGCCACTGAGCCTGTATGACTGGAGCCTGTGCTCCACAATGGGAGAGGCCACAACAGTGAGAGGCCACGTACCGCAAAAAAAAAAAAAAAAAAAAAAAAAAAA